ACAGAAAACAAGTTTTTTGTCAACAGGTTCCAAGTTTGTAGGTAGCATAGGTTTTAAAATACTAAACTTATATATATATAAAAGACTCTCTAGATGACACATGGGCCATAATGTTGATATAAAGTGAATTGTACTTTGATAAAGATGCTTCAGAGCAAGAATAGACAAAAATAATTGCATTATAAGAGCAACCAAACCTTTTCTACTCCTAATACCAATATTTATTCTAAATTCAAATTTTAACAGTTACCTTGCTCATTGTATCAATGTATGCTGCACGGACTTCGTTATATATTTCCTTGCCATGTTCCTTGAGGAATGTAACAACATACCTACACTTTTGTACTTCCATTCATTAGATTAATAGAGAATCCAAAAGCTAACAAACATTACCACAATGGTTTCACTTGTCACAAACAATCACAAAGAAAACTACCATGCTCTTAAAAAGACAAAAGAAAAACTCACTTGTATTTTAAAAGGACATTTTGTTGAAGTATTTGGATATTTGTTTTGGGTTTTCTCAGTGCATAGAGCTTCTGAACAATAAAGTCAAACACCTGCAGATGGATAGCCAATGATAAAATTATTTGTTAACCCAGTAAATGGTCTACGTATGATCTCTCAAATAAAAAGAGAATTCAGCAAGAAGAGTAATATTATTATTATTTTAACTATTAATAACCTTTGAAACCGCTTTCTGCCTGAGCTTTTCAAGCTCTGGTTGAACATCTTTTAGAGCTTTTGAAGCTTTAACCATTGGATCTACTTCTACAAACTTCAGTTTCTTACTAAGAGTCTCTAGAGTTCTCATATATTCCTCATTGACCTGAAAAGAAGTCCAAAGAGTACAAGTCTAATTAAAACGGAATATATCAGAAAATGTAATTATAATGAGCACTACATAAATTAAGTCCTGAGTGTTCTAAATGAAATTCATTCAAAACATAGATCTAGATGAATAAGGGTGTCTTTGGGCAAGTAGTTCAATAAAGCGTTTATTGGATAAGTTTTTTCATGTGAGGGCTTATGACATGAATTTGATCATCAAACTTGTCAGAATAAACAGAAAAGAGTTTATTTTGAAAAGCTATATAAAAAATCTTATTAAAATAAGCCAAAAAAAAGCTTATGAAAATCATAAGCTATTTTCATAAGTTCTCTATAAGCTCTTCCAGACTCGCCTTAAAACAATTTAACTCTAGGCCAAAATGTCAACGAAGACCTAGAAGAAGTATTTAATCAGAAATTCAGGAGAAATAATCTGTAAATCTAGGCATTATTCTCAAATCCAATATTTCATTATACAAATTTTAAAAGTTACCATGGCTGGCAATGTTATGGTATAATAATGTCAATCAGGATTCAAGCTAAAACAAGATTCTCAAATAGATCAATAGAATTACCAAAGCCAAAAAAATAGAGTCTAGAAAATCATAAACAAGAAGTGACCAATAACCTGAGGAACCAAAGCCACAAACAAAACATTTGAGAAATCCTCAATTATAATGTTGGTTTCAAGGTCATGAAAACTGAAAGGAAAGTAAAATGAAAAGAGAGAATAATACTATTGGAAAAGAATAAATACGTTTTTCACACCACCAAAAGCAACTTATGCAATACTTCTGGATAGAAGTAGATCATGGAAAAACATAAATACCTCTCCATCAACAAGAACGTCGATCATCCTTGGAGGGACTATTATGTCTTCCACAAACTTAGCCAATTTGGATTCAGCCACCTGTTGGATGAAACAAGACAAATTCATAACAGAAGTGGAGATAGATGAGAGAGGCTACCTTATTGGGGGGTGCAAGCAAGGAGAAGAGATGAAAATGACTAATGATCATGTGATATTGAAGCTATATTTTCTCTCATCAAACGTTTAATGAAATCCAACTTTCAATGTAAACACCCTTCTGAAGCAGGTTGCTTCCCAGATCAAAAGAACAGGAAGCTACATAATATTAATTGTTTTGCTAAGGTTGTATTATATTAAGCAAAGGCTAAAGGGTGTGGCAATTTGTGAGCAACTTTGAAATCCTTTTTGTTTAAATTAAACATTCATACCTTACGATTCTTAAGTCTCAAACTCATATCCATAGACTTCTCCTGGAGAATCTTTATGTCTGAACTAATGGAACCAATTTCAGCCTGATAAAAAATTAAGAAATATTTCATGATTTGATATTCAATATAGACAAAAAGAAATGTACTGAAAATTTTTTAGTAAGTCCTTCAAATTATTGAATGTATTATACTATGATTATAACACTGTTTTTGTTACGTGACTATTAAAGATGAAAAACAGGTCAATAAGTACTTTAGTTTTGCAGAGTGAATACAATAATTTTCGCATGGAAAAGTCTTCATAAAAAGGAAGAAAAAGTTGTAGAGTCAAATTCAAGTTTTAGGATAAAATTTACTTGGCCAACAACAGACCTGAAATCCACTAAGAAGAGTTTCCATCTGTGACAAGATACTATCACAATCACGAATTTGATCGTGAAGAGAGACTAGATTATCACTTTCCTTGATATAATCCTGCAATAAAAGATTGGGAAATTAATCATTGAATCAATCAAAACAAAAGCATTAGATGTGTACTGCAACCACACTTTGATGGGACATTCATAAAAATCACCAAACCACACAAAGCAAAATGAAATGTAACAGCTGTTAAAAATTTCAAAAATCTACCACAAACCTGAATTGAATCCAATTCAACTTTGCGCAAATCATTCTCAACTCCCTTTGTATAATCCCTAAGTTTTGTTCCTTTTGATAATATATTCGCAACTACCTACACAAAACACAGCAACATAATAACTCAATATATGCTGATCTTTTTCAATGGCAGTGTTTTCATCACAATGATGACAAAGTAACTTACATCATTGTTCTTACATTCTTCCAGTTCCTGTTCCAGCCCCTCCAACGATACATCATCGCTGCAAAATTAAGTTAACCAAAATAAATGAAACAAAGTAGTAACATCATTTCGACTCTAAATTTGCAAGCTCATAAGTGGATGAACTAAATCGAACAACAATAAACGTAAAATTTGAAGGCGAGGTCAGAGTAGTAGAAATGGAAGACCTGCTTGGATCCTCTTCCAAAGTTAGGTCTCCAACAAATGCTCCCAAATCGAACACATTCTTATGCGCATCATTGGTTTCGCCAACAGAGGGGCTCTGCACAGGCGCGGAATAACCAAAATATAAAGGAAAAGAAGTTGCTGATAATAATAATTGTATGAAACTTAAGTTGAAGTGTAATTGAAAAGAAACGCTTATGAGTTCGCACCACTGCAGTTCCGGCGACATCAGCCATTGTTGCTTTGGTTGATAAGAGAATGAAGTAATTAGTGGATTAGAAGAAGAAGCGCGGCTTCAGGTTCAGCATCATCAAAATCAAATGCACACGCATCAGATTCAGAGTTGGTCCTTGGCTTGCTGAGATGAGATCTGAATGGATCCACCAAGACGAAACTAATAACTGTATGCGATGCCGGAAACTAGTCGAGTCGACAGAAAATATATTGGGATGGAGATGGGGCCACAGCGGAATCAAGCGAAATTACAGTATAAACTATCAAATTAGAGACTCAAATTGTAATTACGGATTATTTTTGCCTCGTGAAAAATAATTTCCAGTTCTTAATTTTCATTTATTTTGACAATTATCGATTATTTTAGTTTATAAATTTAATGTACACTAATTAACATTATCAAAATTAGATTGACCAGTAATGACAATCAAATTTAAAAATTAAAATCATCATTTTGTAAATATTAGACACATCAAATTTAAAAAGATAAACCACTTTCTAAGGCAATGCGAGCCAAATAGTAATTACAAGTAGTCTACGATTAAGTTATAGAGATAGTTTATAAATACTATTTTAACAAGCACTTACACATTTAATTTTTTCTTTTTTATAAGTTAATGCCACTCATGTACTTTAATTTATAAATAAGTTAAATAAAAAATAAATGATTAAGTATATAGAATATTTTTAATTTATAAAAAATATTTGTTTTATTTTTTAATTTGATTTTTTTCTTTTAAACACTCATTAAAAAGTTTATTTATATTCCATTCTAATAGACTTGTAATTACCACTCATTAAAATGTCTGTTTGTATTATTGTAAAAAATATATTTTATTGAGGCACGTAGAGCGATCATTTGCTTACACATGTTAAATGGGTGCTTCCGAATCATGGACAACTAAAGTTAAATGTAAATGAGTTTTCTTTATCTATTAATCGGCATGCTGCTCGTAGAAGTCTGGTTAGAGAAATACAAGGTCAATTTCTTTGTAGTTCTATCAGTAATCTAATTTTTGTTATTTTTTGGAGAGTGAGCTTTTGAGAGAGAATTCCACTGTCTCGAAAAACATTTGTGGTATTTGAAATGAGAGTGAACATTCTCATACTTTATTTCATTTGATTAGTTTAATTTAAAAATTAAAATTGATTCAGTTTGTTAAATTTATCCACATAAACAAATAAATAAAAACTAATCAACGTATTGATAATTTAACTATAATAAATCTCGAATATGTTATATCTTATTTTAAATTTAAATAAATTTTCCTTATTTGTACTATTATTTGAGTCTAGATGAAGTTGACATTTAGATTGGGATTTTGAGTTAATTTTATTTTTTTATTAGTTCGAATGTTTGAAAAAAAGAGATTGTATGAAAAGTTGTAAAAAAGATATATTTTTTATTTTAAAACGCCTGAAAACGTGGCTTAGAAAATAAAACAACGGAGCCTTAAATGTTGAAGTAGCATTAAGTAATGTGGTATAAATTTAAATTTAAATCTCTGGCATACAAATAATATATAAATCTGATATATAATATTTGGACAACAATCTTAGTACAATGGAAGTCAGTTGGGCCCTTTGAATGTAGAAGTGGATCCGAGATGGTTGGGCTTGGGCTGGGCGAGTTTGGACCAAAACAAAAATCCATAGAAGACGGCGTCATTTGAAGAAAGGCAAGACGATGGTAACAGAGCGGTAAGCGGAGTATTTCATTTTCATTTTCAATTTCGCAAAGGCAGCAGGGACATAAAACCCCATCTTGTAAGAGTTGAGGCAGCAAGTGAAGAGAAGAAGAGAGAGTATTCCAAAATGTTGAAGCTATCTCGAGCACTGCCTTTCACTTCCACCTGCAGGTACCTTCTCCTTCTTTCAACTATCCCTCTTCTTTGATACCTTACGATGAATCTGTCTTAGTATTAGTAACGCGATAAGATGCATCTATGTTTTGCAATTTCTCAGAACTAAATGTCTTCGCAGGCTTCGGTTGCTTAGGAAAGCTGAGGTTGGAGACTGTCCAAGGGATCGCCACCATTTTATTTATTCTGCGGCCTTTTCTACTGCTACAAATAATTATTCTGCTAAAGGCATTGCTTTATTCAAGTGTTTTTTAATTTTGCTACTTCTTCAGCCTCATGTTGAACTCACCTTTGTTTTGCTACTATGAACTTGCAGGATATGCTTCAGATCGTATATTTGCTCCTTATTCTGTCTACAAGGGCAAAGCTGCATTCTCGTTGAGTCCTTGTCTTCCTACTTTCACTAAGTTGGATGTAAGCTTGTCATTTTTTATGACAGTTGTGTTAGATGGGATTTATTTATTTATTGTATTAACCAATACTTCATATTTATCAATTCCACTTGATCTTAAACCCTAAACCCTAGTCTGGGACTGTCGTTGTTGAACGACGCGGTTCAATTATGATGATTTTCATGCATGCCGTTGGGGAGCGCAAATATGACTGGGAGAAGAGACAGGTAATTTTTTTTTTCCTGCTATGTCATTCACATGGTTAAGAAGTGTCTAGGTTGTGACGTATTTCCGTTTTATTTTATTTTTTTGTTTGACAATAGAGAACACATTGTTAAGTTGATCTAGCATCTTGTTCCATTGTCTCTCTCTTATAGTAATTACCTATTTGTAGAGATTTGCTCTTTCGGCAACTGAAGTTGGTTCTTTGATAACCATGGGCCCCCAAGATTCCTGCGAATTCTTTCATGATCCCTCAATGTTATCAAGGTTGGTTTCATGACTCCCTGATTACCTTTTGATGGCCAACTAATTATCATGTGAGAACTATAATAGGATTGGATTAGAAGTACATGTACCATTAACCTATTAATAAGAAATTGTTTTTATATTTATATCACTTGAAAGATAATTAGTGATGATTTAGTAAGCACCTTATGTTGCAGTAATGCTGGTCAAGTAAGGAAGAGCTTATCAATTAAGCCTCATGCAAATAGCAATGGCTACTTTGTGTCTTTGAGTAAGATTTTTTGTTAATTTTTCTCCATTTGTGCTGCGTACTGTATGTTGCACAATGTACTCTGTAACCTATTTTCTCTCTGATTGTTGCACCTTCTTTGGCAGCTGTTGTCAACAACCTGTTAAACACCAAAGACAACTTCAGTGTTCCTGTCACAACTGCTGAGTTCGCAGTAATGAAGACAGCTTGCAGTGTATGCCTTTTTCTGCTTAGTCTCTCATAAGCTTGCGTTGATTATATTATAGTTTTCACTAGTTATGGGCTGCTGAGTTTCTGCTTGCATATGTAAGAAATAAGAATAAAAGGGGTTATCTATAGCATTGGAAAGAATAATGGAAGGGATAAAGAAAATAATTATTCTGTCATTTTGTGTCATCGGATACCTATTATTACATTAAACAACACAGTCCTCAAACCTTGGTTAATACATAACAAAAATGCCCTGAATTTTGATTCAACATTTGTGATCCATTAAGTTTAGCAGCTTTCTGATCCATAATTTAGAATATCTGTGTATCAGGTGTTTCTGTTTCTGTTTATGTTTTTATAGCATTCTTGAACTGGTATTGCACTTATGGTCGTGTTGGCAAGCCACTGTTATTTGGTGATGATTTGAATATAGGTGAATATATGTTATTTGGTTTACTAAAAAAACTCTGGCATTTGTAATGTTGATTTTGTTCACAATTTACTGGAGATAGGTAGAACTCAATCAGTATTTATAAAACTAGACTGGTCATTGAACTACTGAAGGTTTTGCTTCATGGTTCACTTCTCTGAATATGTGTGTTAGACCATATTCTTGTCCTGCAAGAATAAAAATACCCAATATAAGAAGCTAAATAATAATCATCCTGCCAATACTACATGATGTAAAGCATTAGAGCAACGAAAGACTGCAAGGATAACCATTATGTTGGTTGATGCTTCAAAGTCTAACATTGGACGTTGAGAGAAACATCCAAACATACAACATATATAAAAGCTAAGAGGAAGTTATATTTGCAAGGCCCTTATAGGATAATGAGTAGAACGTCTAAACTTACAACATGTCATAACTAAGAGGAGACAATCATCTCATAGCTTTAATGTGGGCCTTTGTAACTTGAAATTGGGTCCCCGTTTGGCTTAATAACCGTTTCTGGTTGAATTATTACTCTTTACAAAGGTTCAAAATAGAACCCCAGATTTTTTAATCAGTACTCAAATAGCTGTTAGTATTTTGGCAGCTAGAAGCATTCATGTCAAGTGTTTCTATTTGTTGGGCTAGAATCCAGTTCTTATTTCCTAGGCCTTGCTTATTTATTGAGTGGCTTTGCATCCAATTAAACATGCAACCGTGGCCCCAACAAAAAAAAAAAAAAGCTTTTGATATATTTTTGCACCTTGGTAAGAACTTGCTCTTAATTTGTTTTTTTGATGCAGTTCGCGTTGCCACACATTATGGGTTGGGACCGAATTACTAATCAGCAATCCAGGAGCACAGTTGGCCTTCAATCGAAGGCAGGCTCACAAGTTTTAGACTTGGAATGGGATAAGTGAATCGCCGCAGAGAAATATGAAACGAGTTCCTGTCTGTGCTGCAATTCCAATTTGTATATGATCAATTTAAAGACTAGAACTGCTGGGGGAAGACATCTTGTAAATTGTGATATTTAAGAGGTGAGAAGGATGATTGATCAGATGTCAACACCATTTTGCTATTAGTCATGTTATTATTATTGTGTTGATGTCTGCTAGTTTGGTCTTCTGCTGGCATTGAAATTACCATAGGTTGTTGGAACATTAGTAGTCTGATGACAACACGTAAGAACATTGGTTTTATGCTGGCAAGTTTATTCTGCATGGACAGTTTAACGGTTATTTGGTGAATGTGTTCTCTTTCCTTAACATCGGTATTCGCATGTCTCATAGCATTATATTTGGTGGATGATGACAACACGTAAGAAAACAAAAGTAAAAGTTATTTAATAGAAAAGAAAATGTTTATTATATTAAAAATATACAGATTATTTTCTTCACTGGCTATCTTCACAGACATTGTGTGATTAATTTATTTTAAATATGAAAATAATATATTTAAATTATGAATCATGGTCAAAATTAATGATTAAATAACTGCTGTTAATAATTATGTATATTTATTTATTAATCTTAATTATTTAAATAAAAACCATTTATATTCATTGTTGCATTTTTACACAATAAAATGTTTTCAACCAAATAAAAAGAACAAAACTTATATATTATTCTTTAAGTGCTGTTTGTTTTATTTATTAATTAAACTATTTTAATAAATGTTTAATTTTAATTAATGAAAATAACATAAAAGAGCAAATAAAATTATCATGAAAATTAAAAAGAGGGAGAAGGTTTTTCCCTCGTAGCCCCTTCTTGTGGCATCCAGAAGATGACATTTTCGTCAACATCTTTTTTAGGGTCAGTGGGTCACCGTTGTTTGTGATTACCCATTTCGGTAAATTCCTATCAGTCACTGACCTTAGTTTTGTTTTGTCTACACTTGTAGCATGTTTGAAATAAAGTGAAGGTCTTAATGATCTGCGCGAGGGAAGAAAACGTGATTTTGGAACAATAAAATACTAAAACTCTTTTTTACAATATATTTAAGGAGATTTGTAATATTTGTGGTGTATTGAGAATTTTATATTACATTTTACTTCAAATATATTATAATTTTTTTTTTCTAAATACAACATATTTTATTTATTTTAAAATTATATTTAATCAAAATTAATTTTACTAAATAAAAATCATTCAAATTAAGTTTATAAACATTTATCTGAACACACAATTTTGCTCTTGACTTAATTGTTAGTTCTTCTCCTTAAAATACTTTATTTTGGAAATTTTAGTTTGTTTAAAATATTTTACCGAAAAAAGGTTTTAACTGTACAAAATCTTTAACTACACGAGTTTACCTTAATGAATGATGATCATCTAAAGTTTAGTGTATAAATAAGTATTAATTAGTAACATAGTTTGATGTAGTAGAAGGGAGTATTATATATATATATAATAGCAAGCTATGATTTGAATTTTCGTTGAGAAAGGTATTTACATTTAGTATTCAACTGTTCTTTGGGTAAGATGAAGAGGATGCTTGAAGGAAAAAGGGGTCATTAAGTAACTAACAACCTGGCTAGCAGTTCATATTATACTGTTTAACTCAAATAGTTGAATCAATGCAATTAGCTAGCTAGTGTTTTACAAAATAATTTCTGACTAAAACTTTTCCTCAAAAGAAGAAAAATCAAAGCATAACAACCTTACCCTATAACAGACTTACCAAAAATATTATTGTTTGATCATATCACATATTGATAAATAAAGATTCCCTTTCTCTATCTCTGACCAAAGTGAATTTATTTATATAAATATGAGTGGGCCAACCACCCTTTAACCATCTTAACTCAACCTTCTTCTTTTCCTTTCATTCTTGGGAGGGGTTTCTTTCATTTACCTTTGTTAAACCTTTTATGTTTCATGGCAGCGACATCAGGTTCAAGACCCAGAAGGTCATCTTCCGATCTAACCATCACAGTAGACAGCAACCTCTCAAAGTCACAATTATCAGAGATGGGTGTCAATTCGTGGCCCAAGTGAGTGATTAATTTCTGCCGAGCAAGTTATTAATTTAAGTATTAATTATCTTGAAATATTTGTTTCCCCCCAAGTTTTTGGCAGACTTTAAGTAGTTTCTTCTTTGCTATGCACATCACCACATATATTACTGAGAGTAAATAAGTGACATATGTCTATGATCATTACATGTTTAACGAGGGATTAGAAAGAATTTATAAAAATAACTTTATAAACTTTTTTTTAACTTATTCTAAAAATATAATGATAAAATACATAACATGATAATGTAATATATAAGAGTTCATTGAACATTGATTAAAGTTGTGTTCATAATGTACCTTAATTTCTTGTGCTTTTAGATGGGGTTGTCCTCCTGGAAAGTACATGCTGAAATTCGACGCACAACAGACATGTTATTTGCTGAGAGGGAGAGTGAAGGTTTACCCAAAAGACTCATCATCGAAGCCTGTTGAGTTTGGTGCTGGCGACCTTGTCACCATACCCAAAGGACTTAGATGCACATGGGACGTGTCCGTTGCTGTGGACAAGCATTACAAATTCGACTCTTCTTCCGCTCCCACTGATTGAGATCATAATTTATTTTAATTGTGTGATAAGTTTAATATTCATCGATCGGGATATTAAAGTAAAATCAAAGTTGCACACCACTAGTTACATGAATGTGTTGTGCAGAAGTAATAGATTTCAAACGCGTGTAATGGCTGTGTATCCTGTTCAATGTTCAAAATTCTTATATTTTTGTATTCAATTAAAAAATGTATACCCAAGACTTTAAACAGCAAATAAAAAAAAGTGTAGCTAGGACAAGGAAAGAGCATGCATTTACACTTATGCGTTTTTCAGGAAATGCATGCGCTTTTCATGTTGCTTTGACTGGTCAGCGTATGCCAATATTTGATTTCGATATATTTCATGAAAGAAACAACCTTTCTGGATCGCTTGCAAAAAAAATCCAAAATTTAAAGAGAAGAATGGCTTCAAGACACGTGCAAATATATTTACCTTGGTGGAAAATTAGGGATATGACATACAATTGTTATATTATTTTTATTATAGTTTTTTCTCTTTCTTTTTTCTACCTATTTACCCTCATTTGATGTTTTCCCATCGGATATATCATGTTTATCAATTACGTTTTATTGACGCTCAAAATTTATGGTGAGATATGCTGAGCCAGTTTTTGTATAACTGATGTCAACCTTTGAATGAAGGGTACCCAAAATGATTAGTGTACACAGTGATTGGTCCCTGGACCTGCAGGGTTGAACCTGTCACGGGATAAGAGTTCCTTAAAAGTAAATTTGATTGTAAAATGAAATAAAATAAAATAAAATAAGTATTCATTATTAACTTTTGTGTTACAATAAATACAACAAAAAAGTTATAGAAGTACGTTTCAGAAGTTTTTACTATGAAATCAAATATACAATTAATTATTTGGATTTGTTTACAAAAGGAATTAGACGACATTAAGAATAATGGTGCATTTTCTTATAAAATCTTCTTATTTATTTTTTAAATATCAAATAAAAATAAATATATTTAAAATAATAAAAATATTAAATAGTTTCTTTATTTAGTAAATAAGATGATTAATACAAAAATATTGCAAGAAAATTGAAAAGTGCAGTTTCATTATCTATTACCCATAAGGACGGAATCAACATATAAAACATTTAATAAAACCTTTTTATCTTATCTATATAATTCTTTAACTATCATGTTTAAGACAGTTGTTAATAAAACCATTAGAAATATTCTTACTTGAATTATGCTAATGATTCACCCAATTCTTTCCTTTGTCTATTTTGAAGTTCAAACCGTATTTGAAATCAAGGTCTGAACTCTTGCACTGAACCATCAGTTATTCTAAGATATTGCACCTTGAGGTTTCAAACGTCGTTTTTCTATGGGTGCAACTTGCTTAAGGGTAAGGGATGGCTCTTCTACAGATTGGTGATGCGCCAATTTTTGTTGACATGGTCAAATTGCTTTAATTTTTCATGTGAGAGCGATGCTTGCTACAAAATTATGGTCGGCAATGGTATAATTGTCACAAATTGACCAAACACGATCCTCTTTTTCTCAAGGATCTTTGTATTCTGTCCAAAGTTTGCAATGCTCTCACATTCATTATTTTGTTTGTTATGTAAAAAGTTCTGCTGATCTATTGAAAAATGAAATCAATAATAGAATACAGTATAGAGGAAAATTTAGATATGTATATACAAATTTGCTCTTCTAGATTGATTCTCAATGTCAATCTAATATAATATATAGTGTCGATTTCTTGTCACTTTGACTAGGTTTGATCTGAGTCTCTGTCGTTTGCCTTTGTAGAAACACAAAAAAAAAAAAAAAAAAGTCTATTATAATAGGTTAAGTTTAAATTTTAAAATTATTAAATAGATCAAACTTATTTATGTAAAATTTATTCTAATTTAACTTATTTTTATTTTTAGTAACTCTTTTTTATAAATAAAATTAAAGATAATATTATATAAGTCAAGTTAGATGTTATATAAGTATATTTTAGAAAATAATAATAGGTTGTTAATCGAGAAATTGTATTTGAACAAAAAAAATTAGAGAGACTGTACCAAACAAATGAATGACTTGTTTTAAAAAATAATAAAAACAAATAATTATAAAAAAAATCACAATTTTTTTATTGGCCAAAATTTTATTTAAGTTTATTTACTTTTTTGTAAAATCGACATTGACCTACATATTTTTTCCACATTACACAATTTTGAAGTGCTTATATTTTGACAGTTTTTTATATTTTATTTTTATACAATTTTTAAGTTTTTTTTTTCTAATTAAGTCTCTTTACTTTTTAATTTAAGAAAAATTATTTTTGTACTCAAAATTTTCACAGACTAAGTTTATTAATTTTTTCAAATTACTCAAAATTCACCAATCAAATATTAAATTTTAGTAAAAAAATTAAAAATTTTCTTAAAATCCAATTTCATAATTTATAAAATTCTTTAATCCTCATCGGTTTTTTACTATTTTTTAATTCTTTATTTTACATATTAAAATTATGATAAATCCTCCAATTATTTGAAAAATAAAATAATTGAATGGTTCAAGCCTAATCCTAAATAGATAGAAGGTTAAGTTCTGAAAACTCTATCACTCACACTAATGTAGAATATGAGAATGAAAATGTTGGGATTACAAGCAAACGATCGGGGAAACGACATTCTAACCTCAATTCTCCCAGCAAAGTAACCCTTATGATAAGGGTATTGTGCTTCATGAAGTGACTGTGTTTTTTATAGAGTTCGAAAGCAGGTCAGTCACCAGCTAAACTTTAACGTGGCAATATGAAAGGTGTTGTGGCATGAAAGTTGCAATATGAGTGCCATCATTTGCTCCAAACAAACAGGATAAAGCAGGTAAAAATGCTTGGTGAACCTCAAATGACATTTAACAAGGAATTTATTACACAGTTTAGGCCTTTATTTATGATCTAATCCAAATTAATAATTAAAAATTTTAAATAGATAATTCTCAATCTATATATTGCACTACTTGCAAGTTTATAACAAAAGATATTTAAGAAAAAATAAAGTGGGGGAAAATAAAATTAAGCATGACACTTAATATATAGATCAAATTAAGCCATTCAAATCTAACCATTTCCAATCGTGTTTACGCATTCATATACATATGTCCTGAAATTCCTCAGTTGCTTATTGATCACAACACAAGTACTATATCGCTCTCTATATATATATTTCCCTTCCCTTCTTTCAAAGGAAACAAAATAAGAAGGTGGAAGTGGCAGAAACAAGAATGGAAATGGCCCAACAATAATTCTATATTTACGTACAAGCAAAGAATGCAACAGGAAGACATTACTTAGACAGGAACTAATTAATTGGAAATAATACTATATAAGTGCTAAAAGACTTAAGGGTACCATGATGATGATGAAGAAGAATAAATGTGACATCATCATGGGCACTGAGGATTGTTGCCTGGCCCACCATAATAGAAGTAAGTGCCCCATTCATTACTATATGAGCTCTTAATGTCATAGCAGTTTGTGTTCTCTGCTAGTGTTAAGATGTCGTGAACCGAGGTGAGACTATTGTCAGTGTCTACAATCTCAATGTTGCGAAAGTAGCTTGCTTTTCCAAACCCATCCTCGGAGAAGTGGCCTGAGCCCATTTGGGTTGAGGTGTGCTCCCCATTGGCCCGTGTGTTCACCACCTCGCCACCCCACTCAACCATGGTGGCATGGTTGGCCAAGTGTGTGAACAACTCTTCTGGCCAATACCCTACCAATGTGCCATCACCAAAACTCATCCACCAATTCCCTACTCTCGGATCCTAATTAATATTACAAAAAAGCAGTGAAAAAAATTAGAATTATAGTCTATGTTTCAAAAAGATTAATATTATAATCGTTTTTTTAATTCCAAAAAAAAGTTAATAAAAATAAGCTTTTGCCTTATTAAAATAAAGTAATCAAACATGCAATCATTTAACTAAAATTAAACAAAATGGCCGTTCATGATCAATTTGCACGTGAAAGAAATATTAACCTTCCAAATGAGGATGGTAATGTCGTATTGGTTGGCATCATAAGAGGAGATAGGTGAAATGGCAGCTCCGATGGCTATCCTGCTATTTGTTTGCACAAAACCGGCACAAAGAAGGTTGTAGCATCCAGTTGCTTGATATGCATCACTCTACATGGCATGCACCCACAAACTAAATTTAATTATATTCCAATAATTATTTTATGTGTAATAAATACATATCGAAGCCCATTAGCTACTTATGTGAAAAAATGACAACTTCGTAACCCAATTTGCTAGCTACTTGACACAATAATTTATGGTCTTAAGGATTATAATGACAAATTCTCCCCATATAAAATGTAGCACACTTGCTAATAATTTGAATTTAAAATAAAAATAAAAATATTCTTTTTATTAAATAAAGACTTGTTATGATTAATCAGAACATTTATTAATTAATTTGAATAAAAATTATATCATTTTTTAATATAAAAATATTATTTAATTACTTAATAATATAAAAAAAATTTGAGTTATATACTAATTTACAATTAAGTTTGTTTATGACACTTTTTTTTGAAACTACACAATACATCAAAAGAAAGATAAATATATTAGGATACAAAAATATATTATAACCTCTTCTTCTTCCTTTTTCCTCTCGTTCTCTCAACTCTCTCTTCTCTCCTTCCACCATATCTCTCCTCCTCTCTTTCCACTCATTTGTCTCTTCTTCTCTTCCTCTCTCCCATTGTCTTTCATCTAGTCCTTTTCTCCTTCTCACCCACCCTTCTTCTTTTCGTTTTCTCAACTCCTCCCTCTCTCTCACCTGGCCTTTCATCCTCTCATGCAACTCAATTTTTCTCTCCTTCTAACGTAATCACCTTCTCCTTTCCTCTTTTCCGCCTAGTATCTTTCTCCCTTCTCTCCCTCTCTCTCTTTCCTTTCCCTTCTCCCCTAACTACCTCTTCCTTTTCTCTTTTCCCACCCCACCCAATTAAACCCCCTTCACTCTTACCCTCTCTCTTCCCACCCCCCTTCGCTCTCTCTTCTCTTGTGATCTATTTCATCCACTTTTAGCTCAAGCAGAATTTTTAATTTTTGTTTAAGCAAATTTTAAAGCTTAACTGAAAGTTTTTTTTTTTTTTTTGTTTAAGTGAATCTATTTTTGCTTAAGCAAAAATATGTTCCAGACTACAGTTCACGCTAAAACTGTAAAAGATTTGGATCGAGGTATATTGTATCTTCCTCTCTCGTTACATGGTGCAACTTAGTAGAAAGAATTTAAGTCCATTGGTAGATTAGCTTAATTATAACTAGTTATCTTTATTTTAATTAGTTAGGCACAAATCGCTTAAAGTCAAAGGTCATTACCTCAAAAAAAAAAAAAGTCACACGTCCATAAGAATGATGACATATTTTTATTTTTATAATTTTTTTAATATTGTATTACATATATCTCTTATTTATTATATTATTTTTAAAAAAGAATCACTTTCTTTGACCAAATATATATTAATTAATAAAAGTAAAATTAGAAACTAAATCTATCAATTTTATAAAATAACAATAAAAAAAATCAATTTCTCCTGGTTAACATAATAATTTACATAATACTTTCTCATTATTTAACTCCAATATATAGTTTATTAAATTCTTCTCATGATATATATATATAATTTTTTTTAATGTGAGATATATAGCATAAGAGAAGAACAAATAACAAAGAAAAGAGAAAGATGGATACTGACTGTCCAATAAGTGAATAATCTGGGCCTGCTGTCACCATAAAGCTCCGGACTGACCTGACTAGTAGAACAATCAAAGCTTCAAAAACTATTTGGTATTTGACAAAAAGAAAGAAAAAAACTACTATGGGTTTTGATTGGATAATAAGATTTAAGGAAACAACAATACACAAGTTCAAAAGTTGTCAAGTTTTTTTTTTTCTACGAAAAAAGTTTTTTTATTTTTAAAAAAATAAATATTCCCTTAATTTTCTTAATTTACAGTGTTAGAAGTATAAAGCATAATATGCCACCATACAAAAAGTAAATCTACCTGTAGCAGAAATTTGTTTATGGGATTAAAAAAAGAGTCTAATATTGTTTAACCAACATACATACAAATTTGTAAAAGTATAATTATTTTGAGATGGTCTTATTTATGGAATTGATTAAATAATTAACCTTTATGAAAATTAGAAGAGAGAGAATAGATTTGGAAATTATATTTTAGAAAAAATACCTGCCATCCAGCTTCAATGCTATTGAGATCTGAGCCATCAAATGATCCAGAAAGTATCCAAATTTGAGATAGACTGAACTCGTTGACTACTTGGATCGACGGATCCCACACATTTATTGTTGCCTTTGCCCCATACACGTCCTGAGATGATCCCGTGTATGCAATCGCATGCTACATTCACAAAATTCACTTTTATTTAACATTATCTATTCAAATGTACTATTATTATCCTGGGACCACACATTTACTTAGTGTCAATCCTGATAATCCATGCTATCTTAGCATATGTGTAATAAAATAAAATGTCAAATAAAACATAGGTAGAGTTTTTAGTCAGGAGAGGATGATTTGGTAACATTAATTAATTATTCAAAATTGATATAGGAAATAACGTTGTATATATTATTATTTTTATTTTATACATATATATATATATATATATATATATATATATATATCCAAATAAAGGTGGGTCAACCATTTTCCATTAACTATTTGATAATTAATATTCAGAGTATGAAAGGAGCACTCATTCACTTGTAGAAAATACTACTATTAAACTGAAACTTTGCAGAATTACTAAATGAGACAAGCGTAAATTCTTAGCGGGTCACACGTGTTATAACAATGACATTGATTGCTAATTTCATGTATGTAACTTGCAGGACATTCCATGTAAATGTAAAAATAGATTAAGCAAAACTCAAAACAACTTGTTCTTATAACCTGTAGTTTCACTTTCACATTTAGAGTCGATAATTTGATGTTTTTGCAGCAACAATCTGAATTTCAAAATGCTTGTGCATATAACATGCACCAGTAATTTATTAATTTAATCGGTTTTTTCCAATAGTATATTCACCGGCCTTTTAAATCAAGTACTTGTAAGTAAGTAGTCATACTACAAATATAGAGACAGATAGATTTGATTCCTTTAATTGAAATTTATTGTTAAATTTTAGAGAAATGTTCCATTAAAAAAGCTTAGAATATATAATAAGTAGAGCAAAGAATGTTTAGTTGAAATGAAAGTGAAAAGAAGTGAGTAAAGGAGAGGGTAGGGAGAGGGAGAGGCACCTCATGGCCATTGGCGCTGACGACATAAGGGGCATCGATGCGGCGAGTGAGAGGAAAGCGACGTTGTTTCTTACCAAAGTCATACAAAGACTTTGCTCTCAACACGTCATGCACTGTGCTCCTTCTTATGGGAACAGTTCCCTTTGGACACCGAGTCCCATTTTGGTGCCACATTTGCCATGCACCCTCACTCACAATGTTCTCCTCTCTCTTCACCTTCATACCCTTTGGCATCTTAGTTGGTACCTTCTGTTACATTAATCAAACCCAACAATTTAAACTTAATCAAATCGCGTTGATATTGATTCACACACACAGTTTTATTTTATTAAAGAAGATTTTCGTTTAATTTTCTACCTCTTTGGGAAAATCAAGTGAAGACCGACATTAAATAGAAAAAGGGAAATTAATACAAAAAAGTGGTGTAGTTTAAGTGTATATATACATGTAGTCTCTACTATAATCTGCTGAATGAAGGTGTGTGTATACCTGGATCTTGTGATTCCTTAAAAGGGGATGATCTAAAGCTGGTTGCTTTCTTTTGTGAACACAATCTATGAGATCACCGTCTGGACTCTGAAATAATAAGATTCAACATATTAAATACTCATGAATGAAATATATAAGGATGTAAAAAATAAGGAAAACAACATTTATGTATATATTGTCATTACTCATTAGCATGTAAACTAATGACCCAAGCACACATATTTAGTATTAATATTAATTACCTCTATAGTGAGGACAGGGGGCTTGTTAATGTTGTCCAAGTGCCTCTGAATTCTTTGGAGTCTCAAGCTACTGACTTTCCTATACCTTGTGTAATTTAAGGAGCTGGATTCGACCAGAACCGATTGTAGAAGAAGGGACAGGAAGAAACCCAGAAGGAGAAGATGATGAACAGCGGGAGGAGAAGAACAAAAACACCTTCTCATCCTCCCAACGGTACCCATTATTTCTTTCTCTTTCAGTGCCAAGAAAGAAAATGGGTAAACTGGAAAACCATTACTAGCAAAGCAAACAGCACAAAGTAAATCTGACTTTCATGGGTATTTCCCTTTACCATACACAAACACTAACACAAACGAAGAAAAGAAAGTTGGAAAAAGACTTGTTGTAATTATGGGGGAACGTAGGAAGGTAAACCTGATCTCTCTCTCTCTCTCTCTCCCTCTCTCTCTCTCTCTCTCATTAATGGTGAGGAAGGGGTGGTGGGTGAGGCTAATTAAGCTGCTGCTCAGAGACCCTCTTGGACTTTCAGCATCAATAGGATGATTGCTTGCATTTGATTCATGTGTATTAATGGTGCATGATGATGGAGCTTGATCTTACACATACATTTCTGATGAAGATTGCACAAACGTTGAAGCAAGGAGAGAAGAGAAAGTTGTGGCCTGGCTGGCTTCAAATTCGAAACTTAATGAAAGCAATATAAAAACTCAGACCTACCCAACTGAAAACAATCCCCCTTTTATTGCACTTCTTCAATGTGCATCTGCCACCATACACTCTGCCATTAATATTTCCCTTCAAACTGTATACCTTCTATTCTTTTACTGCTTCGCTTCCTTCGTATAATAATAATAATAATAATATATCACTTTTTTTAAAAAATAAAAATATATCTGACAAATTAAATTGGGTACTCAAATGGTGGAGAGGTGAGGCATTGCCACGAGGGCTGCCCTATCTGGACTTCCAACATTTCTATAGCCTAAAACTATATCCAAATTATGTGAATAAATGATCTGTGTAGTACCCTGATATAAATTAAGCGTTTGTATGTATTTGTAAAATTTATTATACTATCTGTTTGCGTTGCTCCTGAGGACCGGGGAGTCGTATAAAAAATGAAATAGTTAAGAAAAAAATAGCCAAATTACCAGTGATGCATCAGTGGGACTAAAAAATCATTTCGTTGTTACAGCTTCTCCTTTTCATGATTTCCAAAAAACTGTCTAGTAATCAAAACTTAATCATTCTTTTTTCTTATCCTTTTTCTGTTGCAATAATTTTTCCTTTTAAGATTAAACGTTGTTAAAGTATAGGAAGAATCTCAATATTAGAGTGCTGTTTTTGAATTCTTAAATCTGAGATAAGATGTTATTAAAAAAATAAAAGTATTTATTATATTTTATATTTTAAATATAAATATTTTTTAATAAAAATAATTAACTTTATATGCTTAAACTCTATTAGCATAATTATAAATCCTCTCACTTTTATGTTTACAAATTCTTTAAGTTAGTAAATGTAAAAAATATAAGACAATAACTTATGCTTGTACTTTCTCATTACAGGTATACTTTATAAAAGAATAGAAGAATTATTAAAAAGGATTTGTCAAAAGATATAACAAAGCTTTTGAAGTTAACAAAATCGTTAATATATTATTTTTATTTCTATTGATCTGTCCATAAAGAAGGAAAAAAATATCATTTTTCTATTATTTATATAAAAGTTCAAAATAATAATAATAATAATATTTGACTATTATTCTTTAGTCCAAATAAAACATGTATATAATTTGAGTAGTTTAAGATTAAAAAAATTACTAACGAAAGACAAATTAGGAAGTTGAACAATTAATTTTAATAAAATAATTAATTTATGTAGTTTGTATATCTTTTTCTTTAAACAGATAAATAAGAATGAAATTAATAATAATATTAAAAAACACTGATACCTGCAGTTCGAACGTGGCTCTGCGGCGGAGTTTTCTACTAAGAAAGTGCTAACTTTATTTAAAAGTATAGAACGTGGTTTAACATAAAAAATGAATCTTCACAAGAATCTAACTGGGGTTTTGAACTTTAAGACATCGAAATTATTAGTCAACGTATAGGGGAGCTTCTCTAGCTCTGATTTTTAAGAGAGAGCTCCATTTGAAGATGTGTTTTGCAAACGCACGGCCATCCATACGACATGGAAATTAGTATATAAATATGAGAAACAGAGTATTTAAATCGGGTAAGCTTCTAATCTCGAATCTCGAATTCTTATATATTCAAGATAAAATTTTAGTTGTCAGTGCAGTGTGTCACACACGAAATATCAAGTCTTGTTAAGAGTACCATGAATTAAAGAATTAACTAATAATTTTTTAAATTTAAAATTAAAATGTATTTAAAATCGCAGCAAAATCATAGATACATATTAGAGAAATTAGTTGTTAATTTTCAATGAATAAATTTATTAAGAGTTTTGTTAAATTCAACTTTGGATACAATTTTTTTTGTAAAGGAACTGTATGGATTAAGTGGAAAAATCATAAATAGCGGACATACTGGCAATAACTCTGCAGAATCTTTCCCACTTAAGTTGACAGCAATGTAACAAGAAAAAGAAGAAGAAGAAAATAGATCCAATTATGTCTGAGTATTTTATTGCTTTTCGATGTAAATCTAAATATATTTATACAGTAAATATTTACTCACTAATTTTTTCTTACATCTTTATGTAATGTTATATCATATAGCAATGAGTGAAATGATTATGGAATAGCAATGTTTTAGAATGTCAACGACCACAAGTTTTCTTTGGATCCTTAAACTTTCCTTTATTTTTAAAAAAAGAAAGAAAAACGAAAATAGTAATATCATTTAATATAATTTAATTTTAGAGCCAATATCTTGACTCTTGTTTAATAAATTTGATGTTTCAATCATCTTAAAGTATACTCTTTCCATTTTTTTCTTTGACATTTAAAATTTTGCACAAGATTTAGAAAATATTAATATTTTAATTTTCATAAAAAAATTACATATTTTTTAATTATACCACCTAACCATTATATTATTTTAAAAAATACATTCATCAATCAAATATATGATAATTATAGAAAGTAAATTGATAAGAAATATTAGTTATTTATTAATTATATAAAATGACAATAAAAAATAATAAAGTTATTAAAGCGTAAAAAAATAGAGTATTATCAAACAGACCAGTGCTGGTCAAAGTTGGTTGGGGCAATTATGTCATTGCGAATGAGCTCGCTTTGAAGGCAAGGACATTGGATTGCAGGAATAATGCGGGCAGGTGAATTAATTCTTGGCTAGAATTGAGAACAGCAGCACCTAACTATAAGTATTTAGGACGATAATACACAAATAACCATAGATAAACATTTTTTATCCCATCACACCGTGAACTGTGTCTTAATCTTGATGTAACAAACTTTTGACTAAACTTTCAAATCAGTTTTGTTTAAAATCACTTGTATATTTTACAAGAGGTTGGTTGAGAACATCTACATTAAGATAGAACTAGCTCTCTCAACGAAAACAGCCTATGCACAAGGTTCAATCACAGTAGCTTGCTTAGACATAATCAAGTATATACTACTTCAACTAACAAGGGTTAGCTAATATTTTTCTTTTTTTGAGTATTCAAGCTAATATTTAATGTTATGAGAGTTGAGCATTTAAATCTTTAAAATTTTACAGCTCAGAAACCGATAAGGAATTTTATTATTTTTTTTTTAAAAAAAGGCCTAACTTGAAAACTAATTTAAAGTTTACTCATCGGACATTATTCTGTACTCGTCAAACATCATTTGTGCATGCCTAAACAAGGCGAAGGTACAGTTACCACGAATTAGAAGGTCATATTAGACATTTTCTGTTACCTGTAATGTAAGAATAACCCCGTTCAATAAGACAAAAAGCAATGTTGATCTAGCCCTTGAATGGTTTGACTGAACCTTTTAACTGTTCCAAGGTCACATCCGATAAATCAAATACTAAGAACATATGAAGGAAAACAATGAAAACACCTTTTTTTTTCTATTGAAATGAAGAAAGAAAAACTTCATTAATATTTGTTTTCTAAGTATAAGAAATAAAAATACTTTTTTAAATATATTAATTGTTCATTTTGTATACCTTTATTTATCATAAATATATTTATTTAATTTATAACAAAGCAATTTAATATTATAAGTATTTCTAAAAGTGTATAAATTTATGACAATGAACTGCTTTTTTTTTTCTTTGTATTGATATAAGATATTTATTTATTATAGATAACATCAGAGTATGTATGTTACAGTGGATTAATGAAATGGAGAACTCTCCACCTAAGCCAATATTCAGGGCCAGGATGCTTATTTTAGTTAAGAAAACACCAGAAATGAAAAAGACAGATACCATGATGGACATACCAAGGTAGAAGGCCTTCGAGATCTGTTATCAGACAATATATATTGGAAGGAAAAGAAATATTACTACCAAAACTGATTGAGCAATAGAAACAATAGTATAGTTACAGATAATTCACCTCAGCTAATTTACAATTATATTGACATAATTTATACCCAGGCGGAAAAAAAATTGGGTAAAAGGCCTCAAATTATGTATACTTCTATATCATAGTGCCACCAAAAATTTGGTTATCAATGAGAATTCTGCATGCCGATCATACAGAAGAACAAAAAAGGACTTGACGAAAGATAAGCTACTTAGCTACTTGAAGTATCTTCATCACTATCATCACTGTCATCACTGCATAGCAATAAATACAAGATAAAATGATCAATAACATATTTGAGCAAGAATTCTGGTCTCAAGCTCAGACCAGAAGCACAAAATCTGTCAAAACTACCATAAATTGCTTGGTAATTAACTTTTTATGAAGAAATTCTTGTAAAAATCAACAAAGATTAATTATGCTAATAATAAAGAGAATTCAGGTAGTGTTTCATCTTCCAGTTTTGGAAATACAGTATTAAAATTAACCTATAATTTGATTGTCTTATAATCAATTTTGAAGTTAAACAAAATGTCATGTCACCACTTAAATTAATTTTTTTCTGGAAAAAACACTACTGATTAAGCATATGGCATTCTGTATCTATTTTCCTTCCTTTTCCTTATCTCTATATTTAATACATTCTCCCTGTACTATGCTTGTTCCACAGAGTACAATGGTAAAATAGAACAAAAGGTGGGGCAGGTTGCCTGGTTTCGAAGCAAATCAAA